GGTTCCAATCTCACTGAAAACACGCAACCTGCACATATCTAGGAAGAAATTCAAAGAAGAAAGAACCTTCAATCAGCCAACTTGGTTGACTTAACTATGATCTAGTCCTCAACATAAGTTTCTAGATCCTCAGTGGTGACGCTTACCGGATAGAAGCCATGAAGTCAAGATGTTTGTTCTCCTCCTCTAGCTGTGCGACGCGCTGTTCTGATGCTTGCAAGCGCTGCTGGGCGGCTGCCAGCTCGTCCCTAAGCCATGCATTCTCCTGGCATAGCCGACGCACCTGGGTGCGCAGCTTCTGCTTCTCTGCTTCTACTGACTGCAGGTGCGATGCTAGAGCCATCATCACCTGGAAATACATCGACAATGTTGATTGAATTATACTCTATCTTTACTAATGTTATAAAAAGGAAAGAATAGTGTTTTTGTATGTATTAAAATAACTCAAAGACTACTGGACCGATTTCAATTTTTTTTTTACCTAAGGGTAAGGGTTTTACCTAACCTATGTTACTGGCAACGTAGCTTATCTTAATAGGTTTTTATAATTTTTTTGGATTCAGACGTAGTCGCGAACAGTTATTACAAAATAAAAATGTAAACACCTTTTTATTATATGAGAAATTCCTGAGTTCCAAAGAACAGTTATTTATGGTAATCATTATAAAAACCCCACATCATAAATAAGAACATACAAAAATAATAACCCATTGGTATTGATAGGCGAAAAATTAACACACCCTCGTAGAGACCCACCCACTTTATCTTTTTCATGTAACAAAGACATAACAATTTACGATAGAATCCCCCTCGTATAAAGCACAAAGCAATATGAAAAAATAAGCTTAAAGGGAATTGAACATCCTCTTGCAAACCAAACAATCGTCACGTACAGGGAAATTCCCCATCAAAAAGGGGAGGAAATGGCTCAAATTCCCCACCCCTACACGGCTTTAGGTGCGTCTGCCCCCGGGGCGCTTTGTCCCTGCGCCTCAATGGAGCGCAAACCTGCCTTGATTAAGGGCTGCAATTCCATTTCCATTCCAGCGTTAGATAAACAACTAGTGATGTACCGCATTGCATAATATCGATATGATATTACGAATTCTAATCAAAGAGTTTCGTAATTAGTTCATTATCACGTTCACAATATGTACATAGAAGAATAAGCAGAATCATACCTCAAAAAAGGTCAAACTGTTTACAACATTCCCGTCATAATATGGTCTACATACATACGTCACATAAACAAGAGAAAATAATTTTTCCTGTCATTCGATAAAAATACATTTTGCGTGCTAACCATCACTAGGTTTAAATTGGACCTTGTTGGTATTCCGTGTATTTAAGCGCTGTCGGCGCATAGACAACGTTATATGACGTCTGCAAGTTGTCTATGCGCTCCGTGTGCAAACTGCATGGAGGTTTTAATTAGGTGATTTTAATGAGATACCTGACACTACTGTAAGTTTTCTAACAACAAGCTAGTATCTGTCAAGCCAGTGACGTCATATTCTGGAAGGAAAACCTTTGTATGTGAGATAGTCCAAAGGAGACGATAGGCACGTAAAACACAAAAAAGGGGGATGTCGTAAAACTAATAAAAAACCCTAGTTAAACAGTACGTTCAGACTTCTATCTGAAAAGCAATCAGCAAACAAACTTGTGTAGAAACGCCCATCTTTTCAACAGCTGACACAGTTCTTGAAGAAACTCGGCCGGCGTAAGTCTCTAGAGTCCTTTAAGGCATTACAACGATCTAGGGCGCTTTTCAAGGCGGACTACTTCAGAATATTACTAGCTTCGCGGATTCGCATGGAATTAAAAGAAAATCGCCTATATTTATGTAAAATTGCGGAGTTCAAGATAAATAAGGTTTAATAAAAAAAATATTTATCAAACAAGTACTAATAGATATGATAACATCTATCGCTATGACATGATTGTGATTCATGCTACTATACGGATTAATACAAAAATATTTGTTGAAGGTAGTAATATTAAAGAGGACATGCATAAGAGTGTGAATGCGGATATGACGGCTGAAGATGTATGTAACAGTAGTACATACTGTGCCTACCTTCCTTAGGGACAAGGGCAGGTTGACGATGACAAAATGATCATAGTTTTTTTTTATAGAATGGAAAGAACCTTTCGAAACCCTAGTTCACCAAAGATTGTTTATTTCGTATAAACTCAAAACCCTTTCATTGCTAAAACTGCTAACATAAGTAACGTAAGCTATTTTCTTTCGTTATATGAGTGAATCCTGGGCAGGTTTCTGTATAGAAGCGTTGAGTCATACTGGACATCTAAACAGTGAGTCATAAGGCATTCCTGTAGTGACGATAAATTGCAGGCTAATGCAAGTACATGTCGCCAACGCAAACCGTGCTTGTCTGAACACGAGTCTACGACCAGTCACGATCTGGTACATTGGTTGCTCGAAGGGTAAATATAAATTTAATGGACGTTACATTTATTTGTTTTGTAGCGTTTACGTAATGTTTGGCGTTGTATTGGATGACAGAAGTTGCCACTTTTCGTCTTGTAAAAAGCACACTCAGACACTTCTAAATATTACTAAATAAATCCTTTACTTGACAGTGAGATTGAGGTCTTTCGTTATATGTAAATTAGTACGCAATTTGGCGACTATTTACAAGTTGCTTTGGAAAATTATAGAAGGAAATCGCAATTTACCGGAAGCATAGATGACATAGCTACAAATTATAGTCACGATAAATCGTGAGACAGTATTGTATAATAGTTGTCAAATATCATGACGGTTGAAATCATAGTACAAGTCGCAAATGAATACTGGGATGTACAATGCTCAAGACGCAGATGACCTTGAGCCGCCAACACATTTCAATAAACGTATACCAACCTGTGCTTCGCCGAGTCCCAGCTCGATTGCGTCAATGCTCTTCCTGACCAGGGATGCCTTCTCGTGCTCATGCTGAGTGTTGGCTGCGAGGCCAGCCAGCAGCTGCGCGTGCTCGGCCCGCAGCGCTTCAAGCCCGGCGGCGACTGTCCGCGCGCCCGCCACCATCTCCTCCTGCGTCATCGCAGTCATCCTGCCCAGGGATTCGATCTTCTTTCTATAAACAATACAGAAATATATGTTAAATAATTTTTTTTTTACATAAGAAGGCTAAAGAGCGGTAGGGGCATCAAGGTGAACAACCACGACCTTGGAAATCCTCAACAAAAGAGGAAATAGATGCGTTGCCTAAAAGAACACTTATACTGGAATTCCTATAAGTGATTGGATACAAAAAAGTATAAAGTTGAAATCGTTTTAATTTTATCTGCAATTAATTCATGAAAAGGCGTTGCACATATTAAAATTCATAAGAACTTTTCTGTTTTATTTTTTAAATGTGCATCTGAATATAAAGAACATAGATAATTTAGAAAATAGGATATGCGTACTTATATCATACTAATTAAACTAATATTATAAATGTGAAAGTTTAGATGGATGGATGGATGTTTGTTAGAGTTTATAAATCTCAATGAGATTTGGCATACATGTAGAAGATAGTCTGGAAGAACACACTACTTAGTTTTGTTTAGTACCACGCGGACGGAGTCGCGAGCGAAAGCTAGTTTTATAATAAACGGCAAATATTTCAGAGTTGAATGCTAGTTTATATTTGTTGAACAAGTAAACAGTTTTTTTATGCGCAAGTACAAACAAATCGTGTCAAAGCAATAAGCTACAAGGTCGAACTGCAAACTATTTATCTACATATTTATGATATTTAACATTATTTTTACTTCTTTACACCACTCTTAAATTTAAAAACAAAAACTTATCTAACACTTGGAACAATAACAATAAGATCTAAAAATCCTCCGCAAACAACAGACCTTATATCGGTTATAGTTTAGTTTATAGTTTAGTCTGAATTTTTTTTTATGTATTTAGCTTGACAGTCCTTTTCTTTCCGGCCAATAAAAAGTCTAGTCTGCCATGCAGGTTTAAATAAAGAAAAATATTTTTTCATAAACTCTATTTCTCTTGGTTGTAAAGTACCTTCTTTAGAAGGATTATTCTACTTTTAAAGGATGTAACTCTACTTCAACATCTTTAGAGAGTGTATCTACATAAGTTGGGAGGTAAGCAAGTACGCGGAATGCAGTGGCAGCAAAGTTGCTTCCTAATTAAGTTGAACATAAGTTATCAAATTATGTAGTCTTACTTCACATTGAAAAAACACAATTAAAATGAAAATTGAAATTTGTTACATGAAATGAAATAATGTAACTTGAACATGTAAAAACGACTTAATTTAACTTTGTTTATTAAATCTGTAAACAATTTCGAATTATGTGGATTCACTGTTATACAATCGAACAATGAATAATTAAAAACAAAGACTGTCGTAACGATGAAAGGCTCATATTTGATAACACGATATTAGTGTAGGCTTTCACTGTTCAAAATTAAATTCACACAAGTCTTAACCGAATATTTTAACAGTGAAAACCAACGACAATACAACAGTTTCAGTACAATCAACGTAATAGAGATTCAATCTAAAACTAATAAAATCGAATTAGAAAGCATAATATATATCACTCGAATTGACAGGTGTATAATTATCTTGACAGGCGTTAATAAAGATGTGTCAAGATTATGACAGCTGTCAAAAGGGTTAAGGTTATTCAGGCCAATTTATGGTATCCATTGAAATAACAGTGTAGCTCTCGCGTGTCAGATTTCTAAATTACAAGGTGAGATTTTATACACGCGGTGAAAGTATGATTGTAAGATTGCTATTAATTAAAACAGCATACTTTTCTAGTATAATCAGAAATACTAAAACTGTACTTGTACGGATTACAAGAGAACCAATGAACTTCTGTACTCAAAACCATCTGTTACCACTACCAACTTATATAAATATCATATATGCAATACCAAAAGAGCTGAATAACTTATTAGATCTTAATACGTTGAAAGCCATCGATTCATTCAATCACAGAAGATAAAAAGTCGTAACGGCAGTGAACGTGTTAAGGATTCTCCGTCAAATTAATTCGGAAACATATCTTGTAATGATTTAGCATAAAATATCAACCCAGTTTATTATTATTTTATATAAGTATAAGTTCGCACTTCAAACACTACCAGAAAACATGACAAAAACATCCGACTTAACTTTGTCGGTAATATTTCATGTACTCCGGCATCTAATATTTGACCCTAATCCCTTAGGTCGGGTAACATGTATCAAATTGCTGCACCTCATAACCAGATCGTCGAGGTTTAAGATTCACTTCCACTAAAATACATTAGACATAAGCAGCTTGTATTAATTAATAATCCGAAAATTCCACGTAAATGTTTTTAAGTCGAAATGAAAACGATGGTTTCACGGAAAAAAATTAATGAATTTAGAAGCTAATATTACTAAAGATATTGTAGATAATAAACGAGAATCTTTGCATTTTGTAAACGTCGGTTTCCACAGACTCAAAAAATTAAAAGTTTTATAAAAAGAATTCAAGGCAAAAACCCAAGGTTTTTGTATTGTCTTATTACTTATCGTCGTATTATAAAAATAATCAACGAGATACAAAGTCCTTATAATAATCATATACCACGAGATTAGAACATTGTTTAAATAATATATACTTTTTGGAATGAATAACGAAGATGTCTGAATTATGCCAATTCACTTGTACGATAAATTAATTTCCGCACTTAGTTTTGATAACAATTTAATGAACCCCAATAGCAAACACTAAACAATGTAGACAATCTCGAACTTTAATTACAATTGCTCTAAATAATTAACCCACTTTCGGACTTGGTTAGAACAATAAACTTTAAACAGTGAAAATTATCTTTGTTTTCTTAAAAAAACAAAAGAGTAACTTTTAAGGCAATCATAATGAAATTTAATATAATCCCCTTGACTAAAATACGAATTCGAGACTTCATTCATATTTCTTCAACCTTAATAGAAATAAACTCACATTAAAAAGAAAATAAGAAAATTACCATCTCTACATTACTATAGGGTAACAAGATTTTCTTACTAATATTATAAATGCGAAAATTTTGATGGATCGATGAATGTCTGTTAGAGTTTGCCGTCTAAACTGCTGAACGGATCTTGACAAAATTTGGCATAAATATACATGGCACATAAGCTACTTAGTTTTTTTTTTAATTCCACGCGGACGTAGTCGTGATCAAAAGCTAGTCTATTATGTGATAGTTGTCACATGAAACAGCTGATTAAACGATAAAATACCAGACAGCAAATATAACGGTCAATATCGAGGTTAATAAATTCCGGACGCGTTCACACAATATTTTGATATGCAAGACGACGTGCCGGATATATTTATATTAAATTGTTGGCGTCGGTTATGCCGATACGCGATGGCGCGACAAAGGAAGCGGTTGCAGATGCAAATTGAATCAATTTCAGATATGGGTCAATGGCATCGACTTCCTTTGTCTAACTCGCACCATAACCGGCGGTCAAACGGTTAACGTGAGAAAGTAACAAGTATATATAGACTTGCTGGCGCCCGCTTCGTCGTAAAGTAATCAAGTTTTTCAACTAAAACTACCTTATACTCGTAATTAAATAATGTTCTAGTTCATTATCTAAACTTATTTTGAATAAATTCAAACTGTAAGTTGTTGACTATTATAGCTACTTACGTAATTTATTTTTCAAGCAATGTTTCTAGACTTTGGACTCAATATTGAGGTATCAATTACACCTAGCAATAACCAAGACGTGACTATACTGTTGTGCGATTGTCGATTGTTTCGCAGTCAATGCAGTTCTTTAGTTGCACAATTAAAAATCGAGTAGGGTGCGCTCATAGGAATCAAAGCGGGACTAAACAGTTGTGCGATAGTTAAATCAAAGGTGTGCGCGCGCTTTTATGGGTAACGTTTTAATTTACTTGTATGTACAAGACTCAAAGAGGAGTTATTTAAATAGTTGCTACATTTCTAGACGTTTTATTAACGCAAGGTTGCATCGTAAAGAAAAATCCACCACTATTCCAACTTTAGTATTCCGTCAGTGTAGTTTTCCTCTGAGACTTATAAAGAGTGGAGTATATTTAACTATTTATAGCAGAAAGGTATTTGCATTTTCATTACCTTATATCTTCCTGTATATTTAAGTTATTCTATACTTAAAAAAAGTACATTAACAAAACTTAATTAGTTTAATAATATTTATTATCAAAACTCGAAACTACCTGTGTGCTTTTGACAAAAAAAAGAATAACAAAAATCGGGGTACGAAAACCAAATATTCCCTTCTCCTTGTGAGAAATCGTTTAAAAAACACACAATTAAAAACCTTTTTGGTACATGAATGGTCCCTACGCGATGTAATTCCAAAAGGTCAATGACCTTTTAACCAATGAGTTATAGAATTAACAAGCACTTTGCGTGAGAAACAATGTACAAATTAGATTGGAGTTTTCATCGAGTGAGCAATTCTCATGGCTATGTTAACACTCACACAGCCGACTTAATCAGGCAAGGTAGGTGTGAACGTGAGAGGTCATCCCGGGAGATTGTGACGTCATAAGTACTGCAATGCAGTGCTGTCTGAATTCTACAGGATGATGTGATTCACTAACACAGCAAGAGTTGAAAAAGACCGTATGGAACTTTATAAACATGTGCGTAACTGTAATTATGAAGAACGAATTAATTTTTGACGCCAATTTTAGTCACTTTAAGCTAAAAATACCAGGGTTTCATAGGTAACTATTTTATGTTACAAGGGAACATAAGCTAAAACGTTTAATTTCGTCATTTTCATTCAAAAAAGTACTAGGATGATGGCCTCCTAATAAGCAACCATAGGCAACAAGGACGAGAGGAGTTATTTCTTTTCTTAAATAGCCGTCTAAATAGACAAGCATCTGTAGACGGAAAAAAAAGTGTTAAAAGTTTTAAAATTTTCCAAGAGCAACTTCTCGTTTTAATGTGTAACAAAGTTGTAAAAATTTTATAGCAGAGATCTCGGAGCATCCCCTCGGGGTTGGGGTGGCTATAATATAGCGTTAGAGCGCGTGTCTCGGATACCGGAACGTTGGTATT